TGACGAGCTCCACCTGGGCCAGACTGATTGATTATCTGATCGTGCTCCTCCCGAACCTTGTTAATAAAACATCATGTTGTGTGTCACCGCAGTTAAATCGGTGTCTATCATGATAAAACCTTAATATCAAACCTATATAATGAGTTTGGAAATTGTAGAGAAATGCTTAATAAATGCATTACACTGTAACTAAACCCATTTTTACTGTAGATTTAGTCAACTAAAATTGTATGATATTTAGTCGATTAAAACTAAAAAGATGACTAAAATATGACTAAAACTAAATGGCATTTTAGTCAAAAGACTATGACTAAAACTAAATCAAAATTTGCTGTCAAAATTAACACTGGCGTGCTGTGCGCACCAGAGACTGTTACTTAAAACTGTGCTTTATGCTGGACCGTAATCGAATACGGTTATAATGATAATTAAAATATGAAACGGTGATACTAACCGTGGGGAATTTTATCATGATTTATCGTCAAACCGGTAATCGTTACATCCGTTATTTGGTGCATCGCTATCAGAAAACAAGTGTTTGAGCCTCAGCTACGGCTTCTGTTCTTCTGAGCTGATATATTTTCTCAGTGCTGAAGATGAAAACAAAATGCCATCGAATCGTTTCTGAAGACAGTCAGAACCTTCAGAGGTACATTCATATAACTAATTCATTAATATATTAATTTGTATAATTCCATTAGCACTCTTTTAAAACCTCCCAGCTTTTCCGCCCTGTTTTCACTCAAAACGAAACTACTCTGCATGCTGTGCGCACGTGAGACTTAAACTTTAAAGACTTTAAAGTTTACTTAAAACTGTGCTTTATGCTGGACACTGGACAGTATTTATTTATCGCGAGTTGTTCCAATCGCGGTAATCTAATACGGTTTTAATGATAATTACAAGATGAAACGGTAATACTAACCGTGGGGAATTTTTATCATGATTTATCGTCAAACCGGTAATCGTTACATCCGTTTTTTGGTGCATCGCTATCAGAAAACAAGTGTTTGAGCCTCAGCTACGGCTTCTGTTCTTCTGAGCTGATATATTTTCTCAGTGCGTTTCTGTCTTTCTATTCTCTTCTTGTAGAGACAACTATGGCTTCATCACGTATCACAGCACAGACGACGCTTACGCTGCCATTGAGAGCGGCAGTAAACTGAGGCTCCCAGACGAGCTTCCCTTCGACATCTGCTTTGGCGGCAGACGACAGTTTTGCAAATCCAACTATGCAGATTTAGGTTGGTCTCCTGAACGATTTCTCATTTCATATTACTTTACTTATTCTGTGCTGCTGGTCTTTTTAGCTGATATGAGGAGAAATATATTTCTTCATTGTCTATTAAGCATAACAGAGTGAAAGGTGAAATGATTAATTTAAATAAAACCCCAATATGGCTTTTTTTATTATTGTATTTTGTTATTTTATATTATTACTATATAAAAATAAATGTAAATTTTTATTTTTATTTTGTAATTTTAGTTTTTTAGTAGTATTAATAATAATCAATGGTTTCATGTTTGAAAATGAAGAAATTAAGTCAGTCAATAGTAATAGTAATTTTACAGTTGTAATGTAAAATTAAGTTGATCGTTATTATATTATTTTTCCTAAATACTACATTTTTATTATACAGTGAAATATTAATAGTAATATTTCTTACTTAGTTTTTTTAGTAATTGTTGTTTTTATTTAATAAATAATAATAATTACAACCGAGTTTAACATTTGAAAATGAAAAAATTAAGACATGAATATCAATATTGTACTTATATACAGTTACTACTGTATAGTAAGTACTTTAAAATAAAATGAGATTATTTTTCTTAAGTACTCATTTTATTTTATTGTGAAATATTACAATAGTAATATTATCTATTTATGGGACCCAGTGATGTTGTGTATATGGAGAAGAGGAGGGGTCCAAGAACTGATCCCTGAGGAACCCCAGTGACAAGTTGATGTGCTTTGGATACCTCCCCTCCCCAAGCCACCCTGAAAGACCTACCAGTGAGATAGGATTCAAACCAGCGAAGTGGAATCCCTGTGATGCCCATTGAAGAGAGGGCAGAAAGGAGGATCTGATGATTGACAGTGTCAAAAGCAGCAGAAAGATCCAGCAGAATAAGAACTGATGATTTGGAATCAGCTTCCATTTAGTCATTTGTTTTTATTTACTACTAGTAGTAATAATAATAATAATATTTATTTTATAGCTATATTAAACTCACTTAAAGAGTTTAGTAAAAATTTTGTCGGGAAAAGTTTTAGAATTTTTAATCACAAGTTAATGTAAAAATATCTTGTGTGATATAACTTGTGTTTGTTTGTTTGCTGGGTTTTATTGTATTTGTTATAATTGTATTTTTTTAATTGTTTTTGCCATGAAAATAGCCTTTGATGCTGACATGGCATTAAATAAATATATACTATACTATACTTATAGCTATATTGATATATATAATAAAGTTTTTGGATATATAATCACAAATTTCCTTTTTTAAAACGCATTTCACAATTTTTATTAGAAAAATCACAATTCGTTTTTTTTCCCCCCAAAATCATGCAGCCATAAGCAGAACTGGTTCTTTCACAGTGTAATGCGTTATAAAACTCAGGATGTTTTGGTTTGGCCTTATTTGTTGTTCTGTCATTTAGATTCCAACCGCGATGTCGATCCAACATCCAGGAGCCGATGCGAGTCGTTCGACTTCGACACGCTACTGAAACAGGCTCAGAGAGGACTGAAGAGTTAGCAGCACAGAAGATCAGAGACTCAACATTACCTCAGAGCACTGATAACCAGAAACCGATTTCAGCGGTGACCAGCTTAAATGACCAATTCAGCTGTCGACATTGGCCATATACAGTTTAAGCTGGTTCACACTGGTTTAAAGGAACATTCTGGGTTAAAGGCACAATATGTAATTTTCGCCTCTAGAGGGCGTGTATTCAAAATAAACAAAGAGACAAAGGCGTAGTTTGAAGTGGCCGTGACTGAGTGGGAGTTGTGGTGATCTTCTTTGAAACATTTGGGATAATGTAAGCACACAAGTCAGCAAAATATATAACACTGTTCTAGTGGTTTTTGGATATTTAAATAAAAAAATCTTACATATTGTGCCTTTAAGTACAAGTGAAGCTCTATCAACAGCATCTGTAAGCTGCTGGAAATAACCGTGATATAAATGCACTTAACATTGGAGGTCTGAGAATCACATGCTGTACAGATGGTGTCCAAAGAGCTGCGCTCGAGCTTGACCTGGAAAAGCTGTTATTTTTTGTAGCAGGGTCATTTGCACTTCACTAAACTGACTTTGCTTTCAGCTCTTTCTTACTTGATGGTTAGAACTTCTGTTGAAGTACTTTTGCTCATTAAATTTTGTACATAAGAATGGAGTGGCATTAAAGGATGAAATCATCATTATGAAAGGAAATTTAACGCAACTGAATGGTTAATGGTTTTGTCTTTTATAGTGTATATATATATATATATATATATATAGGCTGAGTTTTTTGAAGTGATACCAAAACATGTTTTCCCCTGTTTTTCAGTTGGAATGACGACTCTTTACCTGAATAAAAAATGTTTATGTACTAAACAATGACGTCTCTTCTTTTACACTAAACTCAGAACACTGTAAAATGAATGCTTTCAAGCCTGCTACTGCTCAGAGATTAATAGATTTTAGTTATCTGCTATTCATTTTGGTTTCTGATTATATTATAGTTATTTATATTATCATAATTAATTATTATAATAAGTGTATTTTATAATATATATTAGGGATGTAACGATTAATTTACTTTTTTTCCACAAAATTCTCAGATATCTCAGGGAATAGCCAGAGAACAACAACTAGGGATGTAACGATTAACCGTGAGCCGGTTGAAAATCGATTTAAATATGTGACTATTCAAATCAGTTGAGATGCTAAACAAATCGCGATTCAGTTAGGGTTAGTTTATATGAATGTATATGCCTGAGGGGAACTTACTGTCTTTCTATGGTATTTTTTCTTTTCTTCTTGCTTCTGTATAATGCATATTAAAGTTCATAAGTGCAGTGCTGCTTTGTTTACAGCGGTAACCAAGGAAACACTGTATCACTGCTGTTCATAAGTGCAGTGCTGCTTTGTTTACAGCGGTAACCAAGGAAACATTGTCCAAGCAATAATAAAAGGACACATTTCATTTATAATTTGTCTTAAATCTCATTTTGTAAAAAAAATAAAATAAATTGAATCGTGAGTTGAGTGAATCGTTACATCCCTAATATATATATATAACACTAGATTGAGAAATTTAATTATCTGGTTAGGTTATTGCACAAGTTTAGTATAGCACACGGCAGCCCCAAAATACTAAAACTGTAATAATAATAATTATAATAATAAAAATGTAATATGTTTGTGATTAAAACTAGAAAACACTCAAACAAAAAAAAAAACATTTGAAAATAAAATAGAAATAAAACAACAATAGAAGTCACCCTATAACTTTAAATTAATTACAATTATAATTAATTAATTTAAAATTAATTATTTTTCATACTGGGTCTATTCGGGTGTGCATATTAAAATAGGGGCAATAATTCTAGAAGTATTTTGACACTTGAGTCACTTGAAAATGAATGCCATTATTTTATATTAAAAAAATACAATTAAATATTAAAGCAGGTGTCATTTAGTGTAAAAGATGTTCAAACAAACTTTATAATTAAAACATTTGACAGAAGTTTGATCGGTTGAAATTATAATATGTGTTGACGATAAAGACAGTATTGTTTGTTTGTGGTTATGTTAACATGAATGTTTTGATCCTCTGGTTCCACAATAATCACCAAATCAAAAAGTCTTTTAAAATTATATAGATATGTGAAGTGAATAGAAAAGATCCTGCAGCAAATAACAGATAAAACATCAGAGAATTCATCAAATATCCATCGATAGTACTTACTGATATTTGTCCTCGTTTTCCCGCTAAAACGATGTCACGTGACGGAGGACGACGTCATTAAGGAACGGAAAAACCTGTAAATTGATTACAATTTAAAACAATATTCCCAAGAAAACATGTTTAGTTTGGAAGATTCTATGAAAAAACGAAGAATGAACGCCTGGTGGTATATATTTTCTTAAATAATTTATCCGTTTTTCATCGTGACTAAAACGAACTTCCACTCAAACTAATGTTTAAGTTCCTTTATGTTCACTTCAGTGTCATTTTCAAACATTTCAAAGGCACATTTGACATGAATTCATGCGATTATGATATAATTTCAAATGTAGTGTAGTCTCTCGTGCCTTTTATTAACATTTTTATAGTTTATTCGTACGGAATACCTCAAACAGCTGTAGAGTTGTCGGTTTGACGAGCAGGAAAATGGGCGGAGCTACGCACAGATGGGCGGGGCTTATTTGACAGCTGCAGAAGTGCGCATGCGCGACGGGGTGACCACGAGTTCAATAAGGAAGTAGTGAGATTATAAACATAAACATTAATCTAAACAGCTGATTCAGTGTCAGCAGATGCACAGAACTCATTCAAGAGCACAGAGAGCGATCAGCTGCATGCGTGTGATCTTCAGATCTGCTGCAAAACCAGGAATCATGTCCAAGAAATCCAAGATGTTCCTCAGTGGAGTAGTCGAGGGTGTCGCCAAAAACATATGATATAACATAAAATAATGTAATATAATATGAACATACGTCAAATATAACGATAAAATAAATTGTTAATGTTAAGGTTAATGCGTTTATAATGTGATACTCTGTTTTGTTTTATTTTGAAGTAAAATTTTACAGTAGTAACATTTTTATTTTGTTTTTATTTAGTAATTATCGTTTTATTTAGTAGTAGTAGTAGTTTTTTATATTTCGCCGTAAAATATTACAATAGTATTTTTTGTTCTCATTTAGTAATTTATTTATTTTATAACAGTAGCAGTAATACTAGCAGTAGAATAACAATAATAATAATTGTTTTACTTTGTAGTAAGATATTACAATATTACATTTTTGGTTTTATTTTGTAGCCGTAGTAGTAAATTATTATTATTATTTTATTGCAATATTAATAATATGGCAAAAATGTAGCCAAATTGTGCAGCCCTAAAACAACGGCAGCATATCTGATTTTTGTAATCAAATTTTAAATCGCAACCACAATTTTTATATTGTTTTTAATGGTATTTTAGTGATATTATCATACTAATAATAATGCGCAGAGTGTACCACTTACAGTATCTCACAGAAGTGAGTACACCCCTCACATTTTTGTAAATATTTTATTATAGCTTTTCATGTGACTACACTGAAGAAATGACACTTTGCTACCACTTTGGGCCCAATTTGGACATTTTCACTTAGGGGTGTACTCACTTTTGTGGCCAGCGGTTTAGACATTAATGGCTGTGTGTTGAGTTATTTTGAGGGGACAGCAAATTTACACTGTTATACAAGCTGTACACTCACTACTTTACATTGTAGCAAAGTGTCATTTCTTCAGTGTTGTCACATGAAAAGATATAATAAAATATTTACAAAAATGTGAGGGGTGTACTCACTTCTGTGAGATACTGTATGTATGTATGTATATATATATATAAAATTGTTTTTTTTTTGCCGTATGATGTTAGCAAGATTCTTCTGCTCCTGACGTGTTTGTGGTGATGTTTAGCAGATGCTGCCGTCTCACGGGATCCTTGACCTGTTCCGCAGCCCTCAGGCCACACGCGTTCACCATACGACCCTGCACTCCTAAAGACCAGGTGACACGCTCTTAAAGAGACAGTCCACACTAACATCATCATTTACTCACCTGCACGTCTTTCTTTTGTTTAACATATTTTGAAGACAATTTTGGTTTCCATTGACTTGGTCAAAAGTTTGGAGTTAATAAGATTTGTTTTCAAAAGAAGTATCTTCTGCTCACCAAGGCTGCATTAATTTGATCAAAAATACTGTAAAAATTGTGAAATATTATTATAATTTAAAACAGCTGTTTTCTATGTTAATCAATGTTAAACTGTAATATATTTCTGTGATGCGCAGCTGTATTTTCAGTATCATTACTCCAGTCGTCAGTGTCACATGATCTTCAGAAATCATTCTAATATGCTGATTTGCTGCTCAAGAAACATTTCTGATTATTATCAATGTTGAAAACAGTCGTGCTGCACAAAATTTTTGTGGAAAACAGGTATATTACCATTCAAAAGTTTGAGGTAAATACGTTTTTTAAAAAGAAATTAATACTTTTATTTATCAAGGCTGCATTAAACTGATCAAAAGTGACAGTAAAGACATCTATAATGTTAAAAGATTTATATTTCAAATAAATGCTGTTCTTCTGAACTTTCTAATCATCTGTGAATCCTGAAAAATAAAATGTATCACAGTTTCCACAAAAATATTGTGCAGCACAACTGTTTTCAACATTGATAATAATCAGAAATGTTATTTAGCAATAAATGACACTTTAACATATGTTCACACAAAAAAAAAATCTATTAAACTGTAATAATATTTTACAATTTTTAGTGAATTTTTGATCAAATAAATGCAGCCTTGGTGAGCAGAAGAGACTTTGTTTACCAACATTAAAAGTCAATCTTTTTTTTACCAATAGTGTAAGTTAATGGGTCCCATACGGCAAAAATGTGTGTGTTATAAATATGCAAAAAATGGCTAAAATATACATTTTCTAAAATATGTTTCAAAATGTATTTACGTAAATATATTTTCTACCAGTACATATTTTAACCATTTTGTGTATACTTTTGAAAATATATTTTAAAAAATATTTTAAATTGCTTTTTAAAAGGCATTTAAAAATCTATATTCTGCCCGCCATATATTTCAGTTCAAGAAAATACATTCACGTATGTCACATTTGAATAAAAATCAGCAAGGAACATACTTTACAATGTTCTAAAAAAATTCACATTACAATAAATGTGAGCCTGGAGCACAAAAGCAGTCATGAGTAGCACAGGTATATTTGTAGCAATAGCCAACAATACATTGTATGGGTCAAAATTATACATTTTTCTTTAATTTATGCCAAAAATCATTAGGATATTATGTAAAGATCATGTTCCATGAAGATATTTTGTAAATTTCCTACTGTAAATATATCAAAACTTAATTTTTGATTAGTAATATGCATTGCTAAGAACTTAATTTGAACAACTTTAAAGATGATTTTCTCAATATTTAGATTTGTTTGCACTCTCAGATTCCAGATTTTCAAATATTGTCCGATCCTAACAAACCATACATCAATGGAAAGCTTATTTATTCAGCTTTCAGATGATGCATACATCTCAATTTCCCAAAATTGACCCTTATGACTGCTTTTGTGCTCCAGGGTCACATATATATAAAAAAAATTAAACATTAAGGCTATTATTTTGTCGTCTGGGGTTACCAAGACTCTTGCGGTGTTTGTTTTCCAGCCGGAGGTGCTGAAGATCTTCAAAGAGATGCAGACGGAGACGCAGCAGAAGGTGGAGCTGGTTGGTGACCGGTGAGAATACACCAGTTAGTTTGGTTAGGTTAGTCACCAAACACTTAATCAAACCGGTTTCTCCGTCAGGCTGGTGGAGGGTCTAGACGACGCGGCTGGAGTTTGTGGTTACCCAAGACGGCCATGACTAAAGCTCAGGTACGGAAAGTGTTAAAACTTGGTCTTCAACGTCTTTGGGCCAGATTTACTAAACTGGGCAAATTAGTGTTCATAGATTTCAGTAAAAACTCACTTTTTTGAGATCAAAACAGGTCACCAGATCCAATGAGAAAGTGTTTTATAAGGGTAAATAAAGAACTCTAGTTGTTTCAATACGATTTGCGTAGTATTTTCTTTACTCCTTACTTCAAAAACGATGTCTAAAAGGGTAATATTTGATGTATTTGAGGTCAGAGATGTGTGAACGGTGAAGAACAGAGAGAGGACAAACATTATGCATTTTAGGTCTAATCAGCTAATATTGTCTTAAATAACCTGCATAGCACTTCATCTTTTATAACATGGCATTTAGACCAAATATATTCAGTCTTGATTTTTGTGAAATGTTGCAACAAGATGTTAAACAAGTATTTTTTGTGTGTGTGTGTGAAAAATGACAGTTTTGGACACATAAGGTAATAAAAAATATTTTAAAAAGCAAGCGCAAATTACCGCCTGCTTTAAGACATGCTTTTTTGGGCATTAAATAATCACGTTGCGTGATTCATTTGAATACTCTCCTCCCATAAATTTTGCATCTGAAAAGGAAACTCCTACAAATGCATATTCAATAAGGTCAGTAAGCTGTTAGTAAATCTCCACCAATCAGAGCGCTGCGCTGACATCAGCAGCGTTACATTAGTCACCAGTCTCACCGCACGCTCAATAGTTGATCGTAGAGCTGCACGATTAATCGTTAAAAGATCGCCATTTAGACACCCACGCGATCTAATTTCTAAATGGCGACGAGTCGCCCGTGTCTATAAAACCTTCGGAAAAACTGAGAGAGCGCGAGCAGTTACTGTGTTTAGGTAAGAAATACCTTCACAAAAATTATTTTCAACTACACAGTCTTATTGTCATTCATGTTATCACAGTAATACTGGGATGAAAGTTTATAGTTTGGATATAAACACTGATGTCTACGGTAGTGATCAAAATTGAGCAAATCATCTTTTTAAAGTAATTGGCGCTTTAAATAACGTTTGTGTGGATTGTATTGCTTCACCACTAGGTGGCGACAAGTGACTGTTTAAAAATGTATTTGTCATTGACTCATTCATTCAAGAGATTCGTTCAAAAACGCTGATTCGTCCAGTAATGAAACAAGTGAAGTATTTATGAGTGAGTCATTGAATCATTCACTCATTTTAATATTAAAAATTGGTGTATTAAATATTAAAAATAGGTTATATTTAAAAATGTTTAATAATTTATTCAAATACACTTTTAAATAGACTGCAGCAATTAATATTTTTTTCTCACATTATTTTGTTAGTTTATAATCGTGATCTCCATTTGTGGCAAAAAAAATCGTGATTAACTCTGACACAATAATCTGACTGCTAATTTATGTTTTATAATTCATTCTGTGATTAAATCCATGATTTAGTTCTTACTTTTTTTGCAAAATCTGTATAAAACCCCAAACATAAATTAACTCTGCAAGAAGGCACACCTAAAAAAATAAAATCTAAATTTCTGAAATGAATAATACATTTTTATTTGCACATTCATTTTAAATGTCTTTTAATTAATCCCATAAATCAAAGGAATATTAATTAAACATATCTAGTGTAGTTTATACACTAAAATAAGCAAAAATAAAACAAATGAAGTACATTGAGGTGTTGTAGTTTTTAATAAAGGCAAATTTTTTTTTTTTTAAACAATTACTGGAATTATTCTCATTAGTGCATTTCTCAATGCACACATTTATTTATTATGCAGGGTTTCTGCAGGTTTGATGAAGGTAAATTTAAGACTTTTTAAGAACAAACATAAAATTTAAGCAACACAATATGTTCTCGTGATATAAATGCCTTGTATTAGCAATGCTTGAAAGTTGAATAATTAGTCCTGTCAAAATTAGCGTGTTAACGCATGTGATTAATTTTTCCAGTTTAACGCCATTAAAAATATTTATCGTAGGGGCGGAGCTTGGGTTGTCCACCCCACACACAACTGCTTGAAGTAGCTTTAAGTATTCATCTATATTTAATTTAGTGTTTGATAACTTCATTCAGTTTCTGCATATTTCCTTCTTGTTGACGGGCACAGGTAAATATGACATTTATTATAATGGGTTTACGTGAAGATTGTTTTAAGTTCACTTAAATTAGAAGTTATTTTAAATAGTCTAATAAATGTTCAAATTAATAGCTCTTGTAATGTTGAATGGCTAGTCAATGGATAAATATTAGGAAAAAATAATTTCCTAGAGACATCAGTAGTATTGGTATCAGTGATACTGGCCTTCAGTCATAAAAAAAGATGCCATTATACAAATATTAAAAATATACTGTCTTTGTTGTTTCTGCATTAATTTGAAGATTCAATGTCTAATTATTGCAATATAAAAGTGTATTTAAAAACTTTAATGTTGCGTTGGATTAACAGCGATTAATTACAGAAAAAAATGTGATTTGTTTATTTTTTTTTAATCGATTGTCTATTAATAATATAACTTTCAACAGACTGCCATTACTTTTAGATATTTGTACTGGAAAAGGTTCATTTGTTGCAGTGCATGCACACTTTATGAATTTAAGACTCTGATTAAGGCCTTAGTTTGTGAAAAGGTGAATCAGGATGTTTTAAACCTGCAGAAACCCTGTCATGTTCGGTTAGAGGTTTCCTCTATTATTGCATCTGTTTCCCGTTGCTTCAGTCCCCTGAGCGTTTCTCTGTCTCGTCCAACATTGAGGACGTTCGTCTGCATACTAGGGCTGAGAAAATAAATCGATGCATCACGAATCAAGAAATGATTCGGCATCGATTCTGAGATTTTCCGAATGCATTCTTTCTCGAGTCGATTCTGAGCTTAGTTTTGAACAGCAGATGGCGCTGCATGCTTCAGAAACAGCCGTACTCTGCTTGTTTACAAATCCTTACACACACTTGAACCTAAAATAATCATTCATAAAATTCGAAAAGGTTGAAGCGAAGGTGTTCACAGTGGGCTGTGTTTACATTAATCTCGCGTCATAAAAGCATTCTGAGCCGAGGTGAAATTACATGAGCGTTTGAGTGTGCGGATAAAAACTAGAGTAGAGCGCCATCTGCTGTTAAAATCTAAGCGCCGAATCGATTCTGCATCGATTTGTGACCCTGGAGCACAAAACCAGTCATAAGGGTCCATTTTTTGAAATCGAGATTTAAACATCAGCTGAAAGCTGAATAAATAAGCTTTCCATTGATGTATGGTTTGTTAGGATAGCACAATATTTGAAAATCTGGAATCTGAGGGTGCAAAAAAATCTAAATATTGAGAAAATCATCTTTAAAGTTGTTCAAATGAAGTTCTTAGCTATGCATATTACTAATCAAAAATTAAGTTTTGATATATTTACAGTAGGAAATTTACTAAATATCTTCATGGAACATGATCTTTACTTAATATCCTAATGATTTTTGGCATAAAAGAAAAATCTATAATTTTGATCCATACAATGTATTGTTCGTTGGCTATTGCTACAAATATACCCCAGCGACTTAACACTGCTTTTGTGCTGCAGGGTCACATTTATCGTCGCAGCGCTACTGCATACAGCATATAAACATGTCTCTGAAAATATACTGGCTGCCGTTTCATTGCATTATGGGTAACGGATGCCTGCACAGCCGTTCTGCTGTTTTGAAGGCTGTCTATATGAACTCCAGTCCTTCATATTTGACGTCTCCGATCTTTGTGTCAGGCAGCAGGATTCGTCCATCCAGCGTGAAGGCCGTGATGTATGTAGCGATTTGTCCTGCGTCTTCCTCTGATTTGAGTGCCAGTATGATCTGGTCGTCTGTGTCTGGGATGAATCTGAAGGAGGAGAAGCCGAGCGTGGGTTTGAGCGGCCCGACGCGCGACGCTGAGATCTGACTGAAGTCCGGCGAGCAGCTCAGGATGAGGTTCGTGCCGCGGCGCTCGTCTGCTGTTTCCTCGTAGCGTTCGGAGCTCGCGCGGCGAGGGAGGAAGAACCAGCGCTGGAGACGCTCGCTCCACACGGCCGACTCGTGGATGAGATAACCTGAGACAGACCAGAGACACAGAGGACAAACACACACAACATATTTAAGATAGTATATAATGTATACAACATAATATATAAGAAAACATATGTGACCCTGGAGCACAAAAGCAGTCATAAGGGTCAATTTTTTTAAATTGAGATTTATGCATCAGCTGAAATCTGAATAAATAAGCTCTCCATTGATGTCTGGTTTGTTAGGATAGGACAATATTTGGCTGAGATACAACTATTTGAAAATCTGGAATCTGAGGGTGCAAAAAAATCTAAATATTGAGAAAATCATCTTTAAAGTTGTCCAAATTAAGTTCTTAGCAATGCATATTACTAATCAAAAATTAAGTTTTGATATATTTACGGTAGGACATTTACAAAATATCTTCATGGAACAAGATCTTTACTTAATATCCTAATGATTTTTGGCATAAAAGAAAAATTTATAATTTTGACCCATACAATGTATTTTTGGCTATTGCTACAAATATACCCCAGCGACTTAACACTGCTTTTGTGCTCCAGGCTCACATATGATTAATTAAGATAATATACAGGGTTCTATATAAGATAGTATATGAGAAAACTAAGATACTATATACTATACATGATTATATATATATTAAATAGTACAGTCAAACCAAAAATTATTCAGACAGCAGATATAATTTTTTATGTTTTTTTACTTAGCAGGTGCAGGACACTATAGTTAATTTATGTAAGTGAGGATAGCAAAATAAAGTAAACTGACATATTATACCCCAAATATGTAATATATAAGAATTTTTTTTTTTTTTAGATAATATACTGTATAGACAGATAATACTATATCTGAAAAAAAAATATGTAGCAAGAAAAAATAATCTTGTTTAGCCTTTAAATTAAGATTATTTTTCTTACCCCATTGGCAGATATTTTTACTTGTTTTAAGAAAAAACGAACAAAATTTGGATAATTTTTTCAGAAAACAAGACATAATACCTTAAGTCATTTTACTTGTCAAGTAAATGCATCTTAATTCCCTAATTTGTAGATATTTATACTAGAAATCAAGACAAAAATACTAGATTTTTTGCAGTGTGTCATAGTTTGAATGTTGTTCCAGTCTTAAGTCGCTGGGGTATATTTGTAGCAATAGCCAACAATACATTGTATGGGTCAAATTTATACATTTTTCTTTTATGCCAAAAATCATTAGGATATTAAGTAAAGATCATGTTCCATGAAGATATTTTGTAAATCTCCTACCATAAATATATCAAAACTTAATTTTTGATTAGTAATATGCATGGCTAAGAACTTCATTTGGACAACTTTAAAGATGATTTTCTCAATATTTAGATTTTTTTGCACCCTCAAGATTCCAGATTTTCAAATAGTTGCATCTCGGCCAAATATTGTCCGATCCTAACAAACCACACATCAATGGAAAGCTATTTATTCAGCTTTCAGATGATGTATAAATCTAAATTTCGAAAAATTGACCCTTATGACTGGCTTTGTGCTCCAGGGTCACAAATAGAAATTTCGCATGTTGCGGCGTCGTTCGGACTCGGTGTAAGTCCGCCCCGGCATGTGATCATGATCAGGTGTGTGTGTGACTCACCTGGCGGTTTGATATCTGCTGCTTTCTTGAGTGTGTTATACCGCGGCACCCAGTTCTCGTGCTCCACGTCCCCATGGAAACCAACCACCTTCACCCACTCGGGGTTGTGATTGACGAACTCGCCGGTGATAGTCGTCCACTCCTTCCCGAGACCACCGACATACAGACGCTCGTCTTTCACCGCCAACCACTCTGCCTTAAAACCTGCAGCCACAGGTCAGAGGTCACAGAAAAATACAAAGGGTCAAAATTAGGTACTTTTGAGCATGTAGGAAGACCTAAAATAGCACCTTCATAGAATTTGACGTGTTTCCTTATTAAACAGGAAGTTGGATGAAACGTATTGAAGAGTACATGATATACTACTTGGTATTGTGAGTCCAATCTGATTTCATGTGACGTTAAATGGCACAATATGATATGAGTAGGTATATCCAGTAATATATAAGAGAGTATATACAGTTTTTTAAAAGTTGAACTTAGATTAATTTTACATGGCTTTCTAAACATGCTGCTCTCTTGTGCGAGACGCAAGTGCAACGGTGATAGATGTCCCTCTAGAAAATGCGATAAATATGCGTTCTGTGTGAACGGCTTGGTTTCGGTTTTGACGTAAACAACATCTTCTCCGCATTGATGTTCTCTTTTTCTGCAATATTTTAAATGAACAACGTAGCAGCGCCACATCCAGTGGATAAGCTATGAAAAACATTAAAATGCAACGACACTTAAATCGTCATCGCATCTTGTGCACCACTGATAAGGCAGCCTGACGCACACCTAAAATTCGAATGCAACGTTTTTGCATTCGAATGTAGATTCTTATTTTAAATTCGATGAATATTCGAAAAAAAAATTGACAGCCCTAGTGTACACAGCTACCCTGTAATGATAAAAATCCACCCAGTGCTTTTTAAAAAAAATCTCAATAAATCCAAACCCCTTTCTCATATCAAGCCGTTCTCAGATTCTTGGTGGTGTGATGGCACACAGACCCAGGCCCCTCCCACGATAGTAGATTGACACGCATCTATGTTCGCGCGAACCATTCGTGATCCAGCTTCACCTACAGAAGAAGTGAGTATAAGGTTTTTTATGGATCTTTGCAAATTGCCTTTCCTAATAATGTGCTAATGTTTAAAACTTAAAATATGGCGGCGCGTGCACACGCTGCGGCTTCTCTCTCTCCCGTCAGAACGGTGTTTTCGTGTTTTTTGTCTTGTGAGTCACAGTGTTTTTGTACATCTTCATCGCGTCTACCTGTCTCTAAGTGCGCATACAGTCGTGAGCTTCTGCTCGATGTCGGCAGAACCACATTTTTAGAGTTAAACTGCGCACGCCAAAGAGCTGCGGGATCTCGGTCTGCTCCGGAGGTCCACACCATCACCGACCCCCACTACTGCATCTCGCCCACAGCGGAGGCGCCACAAGCGGCGTGAGAGGAAGCAGAAGAGGGAATTTCAATTCTCTGTGTGTATGTGCTGTACATGTGGAAGAATTGACAATAAAGCAGACTTGACTTGACTTGACTAATTATCAAGTTTCACGATGAACTCTAAAGTTTACAGTCTCAGAGAGTGGCTCGGAAGAGAGGGGCGGAGCCAGCAGAGCTCATTAACATTTAAAGGAACATGCACCGAAACGGGTCACTGTACACAGAGCTGTTTTTGACAGGGTAAAAAGGGTGTTGTTTTACACTATCATTGAGAAATTTTAACCAAAGTATGTTATAGACTTTTCATACCCTTTGCAATGTCACCAAGGGAGCGAAATCAGACGCGCTCGTTTTTTCAGAGGCTTGCAGAAAAAGGCTTCCCAAAACAAAGTTACTAGGTTCATCTTTTTCACGTTTCCTTGGTTGGTAGATGCACCGGGGACCTGATTATAGCACTTAAAACCTGGAAAAGTCCCATTTTCATGATATGTCACCTTTAAGTTGTTCCCATATAAAGAAACAAAACACACAAGCCGTATTTACCTTTAGACACGCTGCCGTCTCCATCCGGCAGGATGACCCAGGGCACGGCTCTGTTGCCCTCTATCCGGTACACCACGCCCGTACGGTCGTCCACGCTGTACAGGTGCCCGTTAAATGCCACCAGCTCGGACAGCTCCATGCCGCGGCCCTTCTCCGACAGATGACTCTCCAGAACCACCATCTCCGGATCCCACTCCATAGACACGCTGTCCCCGCTGTCGGACACCAGCAGGTGGCCTCGTTTCAGGAAGCTGAACCACGTGTTGTCCTTCTGGCTGTGTGAGTTCGTGTCCAGGTCCGCTATGACTCCGATCCGGTAACGGATCCCGCTAGCCGTGTGTTCCGGTGGACTGAGCGGGTACGTGTCGTTATAACGCGAGTCCACTGATTCAGCCGCGGCCATCATGCCTGACTAGAGGTGGATAAAGTACACAATTCCATTATTGAGTGAAACTACAGATACTGCTGGTCAAATACACTATATTGCCAAAAGTATATCCTTCTTATGAACAGGTTTGACTGCTTTAGCAATTTCCATGAGTACAAATCTTAATGTTTAAGCATATAATGATATTCTACACTGTAAAAAGGTAGAAAAAAAAAAAAAACGGCAGCTGTGGTTGCCAGAATTTTACCATAACAAATATGGTAGCGACATTTTGGGTTTTACGGTTTTAACCTGAATTTACAGTTAAATACCGTAATTTCATTAACTGATATAATGTTAATATACCAACCTATTGAAGTACTGAAATCTGTTTTGTACCTTTGTAATACACTGATAACCACCAAATGCAGGAGGTGATGAGAAAGTCACGTGATGAACCAAAGCCCATCACACGCAGCTTTTAAATAATAACATATATAGTAGGTGCACAGTGTCATTCACACAAACACTGAACACCATCACGGTAACACACATGAAACTGAAATAATGCAATAAACATTCATTTAACAACATTAGGTGTAACACACAACCCTAATATACAAACGTGATAAGAAAAAACTAAGAAGAAACAGTTGTTTCAACAAAAAAAACCCATAACATTTGAAATGTAAAGCAAGGAATTCTGGGAATGTCAATTTACGATTATTATTATTATACGGTATTTTTCACTTCCAAAAACAGTATACTACCGTAAAATTACATGTAATGTCCAATACAGTTTTTCACCGTATATAGTAGGGGAATTTACCGTTAACCATTTAACAGGTTTTTTCTGTTGCATTTTTACAGTCTTTTACCTAGTGTTAATTTCGTTAACGAAGACTGACGAAAAATGTTCGTTGACGAGCTTTTTTCCCATGACTAAGACGAGACGAAGACTAGACGACAATAAGGTCAATAAACGATATCTAAGACTACATCAACATGCAATTTCGTTGACGAAATAAGACGAGACTAAAATGTATTCAAAAAGATAAAAACTGTACCAAAAACCTCGTTTGCGATTGTGATCGCCGAATAAATACACTTACTCAACCGCTGTTGTTTTAATAGAGAAATAGACTATTGCAATTATGGAATTAGTGGAATTACTAGGAATTTCACTGTTATAATATTTTTCGTTTGTTTTAGCTGTTTTCATAATGTAGACAGAGAGATTGCATAAGTCTTTGGTGTTGATTTATATAATAAAAAGCCTATAATAAATCAGTACACTAGATGAGGTAAAATACACCATGTATGTATCCACATTCTACTGATTTGTTCTTACTGGAGAAAGTGCAATACATGAAATGCAAAAGTAAATTTCTCAAATAACAACTATCATTACGATTATAATTTTGAGAAAAAAATAAATTAGAAGCACACAATTCCCTAGAATATCATTATATGCTTAAACATTAAGATTTGTACTCATGGAAATTACTAAAGTAGTCAAACCTGTTCATTAGAAGGGGGTGCCAATACTTTTGGCAATATAGTGTATTACTCCATTACAAGTGAAAGTTGTAAAGACTGGTTTTTACTTAAGTAAAAGTACAGAAGTACAGCGGTGGCCAAAATGATTAGAACACTAGTATTTTCAGCAGCTAAGAAACGGTTTTAAGTCAGTTATTTCTATCTTTTGCTGTAGTGTGTCAGTAGGAAATATCAGTTTACATTTCCAAACATTCATTTGGCCATTAACTGTAATAATGCAGTGAGATATATGTTAGTGCTGCACACAGAGATGTGATTTGATCATCATCAGTCTGTCTGGAGTCACATGAAGAAACAGAACAAACTGAGACAGACTCAATCCAGAAGAACTGTATCTCCGAGATGCTTCAAGAAACCTCCTGCAAAGCTACAGTACTGTTAAAAGTTTTAGGCACTTGTGTAAAAATGTTGTAAAATGAGGATGCTGTCAAAAATAATGTCATAAATAGATTTTCTTTATCAATTAACTTCTATTAAAAGTATCATGAAAATCTGACTTTTCCAGGTTTTAAGTGCTATACTCAAGTAAATGTACTTTGTTACTGTTTACCTCTGCGCCTGACACGTCTCGGCTGGATCGCCACGAGCGCTGACCGCTAACTTTGCTGTCAGTGGAGCTTGATGACGTTTGGTGCAGGTACATGAAGACGGCCAAAGCCAGGAGGGTTGCCACCGTGATGGCTCGCCATCGGAAGCGGAAACGTGGGTCGGAGATGAAGCTGGTGATGGAGGAGAACATGGAGACACCATGAACGGAAACCCGCATCGGGTCACAGCTCTCTGTTGACATGGGAAAGAGAAGAATCAAGAAGATGATGAATGAATACAAGTGAATAAAACATCTGTTGGAGAGTGGGATATAAGTGCAAATGCAGGTGCAGATTTAAAGCAAGACACCACAGGTGAATAAGTACATTAAGACAATTATTTGGTATTACAGGTTTTCTGAAATGTTATGTTTTAATTTGCATACATTCCCAGAAAATAAATGTGAACATTGGATGAAGCCAGGTTTAAAATTTTTGTTTGACTTTGTTGACAGAGTCAAAGGTTTTTACACTCCAAAAATCATAAAATATTGTCAACAGACAGAAAACTAATACATTTTCGCCATGTTTTTAGGATTAAAAGTTTGTATAAATCAGTGCGAGTGAAATATGAACAAACCCCTCAGTAAAAACCTTCAGAATATAGGACTAGTCGATTAGTCGGTGCAACCCCTTGTGTGTAAGGCAAGGTTCAAAAAGAAATGATTGATTGAGTCAGTGTGGAAGAACTTGACTGGTCTGCAGAAACCTTGAGCTAAAAACTCATCAGCAAACACCAGTGACTTGTACATATGTCTGCAGTCATTTTAGACACTTCCAAACCTGTTGCAACAGAGATGGAAATACATTTTTTAAATGCATGAATTATGTTTCCATCTTTGTTGCCACAGGTCGTCATATTAGAGTTAAAGGTTTTTACAGAGGGGATTCTGTATTTCTCTTTTGATCACTTCATAAATCAGAAAATAGTCAACAGACAGAAAACAAATACATTTCTCGCCATGTTTTTAGGAATAAAATGTTATAAAAACTAATGTGAGTGAAATATGAACAAACCCCACAGTAAAAACCTTCAGAATATAGAGAGGAATAAAACTGTAAAGTTTGGTGTATGTGAGTGCTGCTGAATTGGAGAAACAAACTAATTTTAATAAAACGACTTTAAGTGACTTTAAAGAAATTAATTGTCATTGAAATGTACAGATGTTAATAGATAAAGTGTAATAACATAACACTTAAAATTGTATTTTGGATGTTTTCTTTCCATTAACATGTGGAAGCAAAATATCACTCAATAAATCAGAAAATATTGTCAACAGACAGAAAAAACAATTTCACCATGATTTTAGAAATAAAAATGTTGTATAAATCAGTGTGAGTGAAATATGAACAAACCCCACAGTAAAAACCTTCAGAATATAGAGAGGAATAAAACTGTAAAGTTTGGTGTATGTAAGTGATGCTGAAGTGGAGGAAAAACTCTTTAAATATATGTATTGGAATTTAAATCTACAGACGCAAATAGAAAAAGTGCAATAAAATAAACACTTAAATGTGTGTTTTAGTTGTTTTCTTTCCACTAGTCTGAAAATAGACATGTTTTGAGAGCAAAGTAGAACAAAATCTTAAAACTGACTTAAAACTGTGCAAGAAAAAAAAAACAATGTTTTTGCCTTAGATATGAATTATAGTACATTTCGTTAGTCATTTTCTCAAAATCAGTTTGTTTCTTCACTTCAGCAGCACTTACAGTCATTCACCAAAACTTACAGTTTTATTCCTCTCTATATTCTGAAGGTTTTTACTGAGGGGGTTGTTCATATATCATTCACACTGATTTATACAACCTTTTATTCTTAAAAACATGGCGAAAATGTATTTTTTTCCTATCTGTTGGCAGTGTTTTCTGATTTATGGAGTGATAAAAAGAGAAATCCAAAATCCCCTCAGTAAAAACCTTTCTAGTCTAATATGTCTAATATGTCAACAAAGTCAAACATGAATTTTGAATCTGGCTTTATCCAATCTTCAGATATATGTTCTGGAAATGAATGAAAATTAGTGCATATTTAAACATAACATTTCAGAAAACTTGTAATACAAAACAATTGCCTTAATGTACTCTAATTAATCAACTGGGTCAGGATGGTGATACAATTTTACTGGTAACACTCTACAATAACAGTACATGAATAATCATGCACTAATACTCATCATTAGCTCATATTAAAAAAATATATAATTTACATATTAGTAGATGATTATTCATGCACTGCTATTATTGTAGAGTGTTACGTTTTTACCTTACTGTGATTAATCAACTGTGGAAGTATGGTGCTTTACCCTACTAACAGTTTCTTGCCTTAAACACACATAACAGTCGCCTATCAAACACTGACTTCTGCATTCACATGCTGAGTTTATATTGGTCTGAACTAACACAAAACACATCAGCAAACTATTGACTCAATGCATTTCAAATAAACGCCCAAACAATGCATGCACATCCATGAAATAATGAAAATCAGGTGGACAACCAAACCTTTTTGCATTTTTCCCCATGCAGCAAAGCATTCCGCATCTCCCAGACGTGCACAAAACGAAACAACAGATGCTGAAACAACAGCAAACATCCCATCCCGAGAGAGTTCAGGTTTATCAACCTGCCTGAGTCATTACGACACGCTTCATTAAGAAATTACATGCCACTGTGGCTCCTAATCACACAAACCCTCATAAAACACACAGCTGCCCTTTAACATTTACTTTTACTCAAAGCGACTTACAAATGAGGAATTCAGCAAACAATTTTCACTAGCAGTGTCAGATCTTTTGGACCACATTGTATGTACAATTACTCAGAATTCATTAAATTAAATGTAATTAAATAATTGAGTGTCCTAAAAAATTTGAATTAATTCACATTAGAAGTTTTGTCATCCTTAACATAGAAACCCTTTAGTAACACATAGTAATACTTTCTACATTATATTATACCAGATCAGATACTAATACTGTATTTTATTTTATTTATTTATTTATTATATATCTATTACTATCTTAATATTATACATAGCCTATATGTAATATTAAAATGTTAAAAATTAAATACAATTATTCTTATTTATTTAGTCATTTATTAGGCGCTTTTATCCAAAGTAATACATTTAATTCAAAAATACAATTACATACAAGTAAAATTATATTTAATCTCTCTCATGATTTGATTAAAAAATGTGGAGAAAACAGAAAACACTGGATCATTCTTAACATAGAAACACGTCTGAAACACACTAATATATGAGCCAAAATCTTCATAAAATAAGCTTTTAAAATAGTACATATAAACACAAAATGTATAAAAATGCATATTAAACGGATATGCCAATCATAATGTGTAAAAAATTAAAAAGTAATTAAATAAAAACATGCAAAACCAAAGTATTTTCACTGCTAGTGTCAAACTTTTGGACTACGATAAAATTAAATAAAAAAAATTACTCAATCCATTAATTCATCAAACAATCTAGTTTCCTACAAAATGACAATTAATCAAATTAGAATCTTGTATCATTTTTAATCTAACCGGAAAACATCTGAAGGTCACTAGACACACATGAAGCTTCAAACAATCACAGCACACTTGTAATGTATGTAATCGTTGACACGGCAACCATGACTTTACCTGTGAAAGGTGAGAGATTACCTGTGAACTAACCAGTCCAACAAAATAAGCAATTATACAATTAACATTGTTCATCAAGTTCAGCCCAGCACAAACAAGATGCTAAATATAAGTCAAAAATCATTTGTAATTCATAAAATTAACATTTAAAAGCAAAACAGATACAATTCATACTCATGTTTCTCTCTAAAAACAATAACAACAAAAAGTAATTAAATTGCAAACACACAGAACAGTTTTTATACTACTAGAGTCAAACTTCTGGACCACATTAAAATAAAATAAAAAATACTCAATTATTTCACTACATAATTTAGCTTCCAACAAAATAAGAATGAACTCACATTAGAAGCTTAGATCAGTTTTATAACGGACATTCAACCAAAGCTCAACTAAACTCGTCCTTCTCAATATAGTATGTATATATTTATTTAATCCCATGTCAGCATCAACGGCTATTTTCATGGCAAAAACAATAAAAGAAATATAACAAATGCAATAAAAACCAACAAACAAGTTATATCACACAAGATTTTTTTACATTAGCATGTGATAAAAATTCTAAAACATTTCCTGGCAGAATTTTACTAAATAACTCTTTAAGTGAGTTCATAAAAGTTGTGTTCAATAAAATATGTTTAACAGAAAGGGGAACCTTGCAAAACATACATTGAGTAGGGTCTTCACCTTTAAGCAAACATGCTCAATAATTGTGAATAGTAATGAATAACGGAGGAATAACACGAACCTTTCTTTCTGGCCCTCATGTCTGGTGTTTGTCTCATTCATTCAGTGCGAGTGTGTTTTATTATCAGTTTCTCCCAGCGCTCCTCTGTCATCATCTTCTGAGATCACTGAGCCGCAGTGACGAGGCAAATACTGAACCCTAACCTACTGCACACTCACTAACCTTCAGACTCAGACCTGAGGTTACGGCTATAAACCACATTAAACACTTCTCAACACCGCATTTCTTCTCTAAAGCCATAATACCGTCAGAAACGTGAAACCAGACATTAAGGGTTTATTTGTGCTCAGGACCGACCCGCAGATTAAAGACTAATAATGAATTATACCGACTGTTTTTGTGTGTGAGTCTGCGGTCAGGTTTCTCTCGAAGAAAAGCTGATTTGTTTGGTAAATGATTGCAAACGAGACCGAACATGCAGATCTCTTTCTGTCTGATCCATTCAGATGAGAGCGCCGGACAGAGTTCAACTAGAAACATACTAGTAAAACTATAATATTCTGCTAATACTTTATATACTCTATTATACTATCAGCTCAGTAGCTGTTAATATTTCTTATGAACAAACAAATGTACTATATTAGTGTGGTTATTATTTATTTCATTAATCCAGTATAATTATAATGATATATAATTAATTCATTATGTTTATGATATATTCATTTATTAATAATTCAGTAATATTAAATGTATATGCATGCATGTTATTTGTTATATATATATATATATATATATATATATGACTAAATGGAATGTAAATGTAAATATATATATACACATATAAATTAATATAAATTAACATTTTACAGATTATATTAATAAGAATTATTATAATTATATTATTATTAGGCATATTTATTTTAAATTTAATTACATTTATTACAACTTAATATATATAATACATATAGTTAATATATAATATGTATATACATTTTTTTATTTTAAATATATTCATGTTTTTTCATTAGTTAACAAATCATTAAATGTAGTTATATTTCTGTCTATTAATTACACTTGCTAAATGATGATTATATCATATTGCAGTAATGTTAGACAGTTATTATGAAGCGTTGCTAACAAAATCTTTGGGTCTGTAAATCTTGCAACCCCTGATGCATTTGTTCATACTATTAATAATAAGTTAATAACACTTCACTTTAACTGCAAGTCAGCGTGAACATGCACTACTTTACTGCTTGTCACTCAGAGCATCTCTGAGTATTAATGCTACTGAAGTACCGCAGTGGGAGAGAGTTCAACCAAAGCCGCTTTAAAACACCATCATCATCATCATCATCATCATGCTTTAACTTGAACAGCCGGAAGTGCCCCGGTCTGCGCATGCGCGGAAACTCTTTATTTACACAATTCACTCACAAACACACAGCATAATCTCCTCACAAATAGCCATTCTGGAGGATTTGAGCCTTCTTAATGTTTGTCCCTCCTCAATGTATGATTATGAATACATTAATTCAGAGTTTTTCAATATTAACCTCGCATCCATACGACTTTTACACTGTCATAAACGAAACTTATGAGCGTTTAGACATTTCTGTTTTTGCTATTAGTGAGTTAGTATAATAATAATATATTGATTTTCTTGGAAAATTTCATTTTCGTCCCGGCAGTTTTTTGCTGAATAACCGGATTTAACCCTTTATGCGGCTGAAGACGAAATTTCCTGAATGTTCTTCAAATTGCATCATATACTTACTGTATTTCTCAGTCCGATGCGGAAGTTTAGTATCGTGTGTTAAGGCGGTATTTCATCCCGGTTCTGGCACCGTTTCCTCGGCCGTTCAGACCGAAACGAACCGCCGGCTGCCAACACACCGGTAACGCGAAGCCCCGCCCATGAAACGCGACGCCTCTTGAATATTAATTACGCAACGCTACGTCCGTTTCGCTGATTGGTTGAAAGCAGACGTCGGGAAACGAGCGCTAAGTTAGCCGGCCAATCAAAGAATCACAGTGCGACTTCGCTTTTAAATATTAATTAGGTTACGCAACTGGAAAGATGGCCAAGCAGGAACGGCGGCGTAACCTAATTAATATTCATGAGCTAGTCAAGTAATTTAGGATGCAGTGTATTTACAGTTTGTCGTAATATGATCCTAAAATGGATATTATAAGTGTACATTGAGTACAAAAGTGGGTTTGTCTTGTGTTAATGTTTTGTATAATACCAGTCCTCCAATACAGAGACTGTGTTGTTTTTTATAAACAATATCTCCATTATCTGCTGGACCGGCCTGCTGTGACATGAACAAGCAACATTAATCACAACGAATGTGTTCATATTCTTTTTCCTCAGCATTTTATTGAACTGGAAATGCTTCAAAACACACACAAACATCATATTCACATACAGTTTCCTTGCTAAAAATGTGTAAACCAGTGGCTTTCGGTTTGACTAGCTAATAACAACAAACCAAACATGTCTGACCAGGGCAAGAAACCGGTTTAAACCAGAGTAATCTGTGCCGATTCAGTAAAACCTCAAACAAATACATCTGTGCAACTTAAACAATGCAGAGCGAGAGTGGTTTCCAGTGCCATCAATCAAATCGAATCATTTAAATGTTAAATATTTGATATATTTAAATGATCAACAACTGATTCATGGCACATCTGTGTGACACTTTCATTTAAATAACCATTTAAAGACGTTTACAGTCATTTTCTTGTAGTAGAAACTTGAATGTACCGACATACACTGCTGCTGTCTCAATAATAACAATGTAAAACATGTAATACTAGTGTCTGATTGGACAAAGAGTGAGGTCTCGTTGAGCTCAACTCACAGGTCTGTTCCAGCGCAGTGCATTCTGGGTAATCTGACGATCGTCAACTTTTCCCCATCATCTTTAGTAGGAGCTTTAGAAGATATGAAACGCTGATCAGTAACACATATTGGGCTGCACGATTCATCAAAATAAACCTGAAGTCATGATACGGCTTAGTGCAAACAGCAAATTTACAAAGGCTAAGATTTAATTCAATAAATATACGCACTGCATTGTGTTCATTTACACGACAGTGGCTCATAATCAGCTCATCTTCCCAAACTTGTCATTAGAAATGGCTGTAAACAAAAGAGAAGCTTTAAGAGCCTCCTGAGGTTTTCAGCTGAAATTAAGGCTTAAAGTTAAAATTAAAGAAATTAGGACAACCATAAATACTAGCATTGTTGTAACCTAGTAGCATATGATTAGTAATTTATTTAATTAGTTGTATTTAGTATTGTTACAGTTGTACTGTAAATTTAAAAAAATATTTGTTATTTTTCTTATATAGATTGATTTTACAGTAAAATATTACAATAATAATAAAAGTATCCCTATTGTAATGAATATTAAATTAAACATTAGTATTTAATATTTATATTAATATCAGAAAATTAGTGAAATGTTACAATAGTAATATTATTTTTATTATTAAAAATAAAAATATTATTTTGTTTAATATTTCTATTTATTATTATTATTATTCATATAATGTATGTTGCATATTTAAATATTAAATGCATTATTATAAGTGCATAGTTAAATATTATTATTATTAAAAGTAATGATAATATATTGTTATTATTATTAATAATAATAATAATAATGTATTATGCATGTATTTATCTACTTATTCACTAATTGTGCAGCCCTCCAAACAAGCACAGCAAATCAGAAGCTTTAAAAAAAAAAGCATTTTGAACTACAATCGCAATTTATCAGTAAATAAATAAATAAATAAAGCAAGGACGTAAAATTAGCAATTTGTTATTTTCATTAAATAATGCATGCAGGCCTGACATGAGCAGCTAACCTTAGTAAGACGGTAATTTTCATCGACGAGTTGCTCTATAATGTTGAAGTGATCCGTGTTGGGAACGTCTTCAAAAGAGACTCTAAGACCGGCAGATTCCAAAGCCTAGAACAACAAAAACAACATCGACTTCTTCAAAATATAAAATTAAAGACAAATTCCTCCAAATACAGTGTTTGATAACATGCATAAGTAATAACGTCTGAGAGTAAATGTCACGATTTCTGTGAAGCATTTCACACGTACTTTGAAATATTCCTCCGATTGCTTGCGAAACTCGGGCGAGTCGTTCTGCGCGACGGCGACGATGATGTCACAGGAAGTGGACGAGCGCTTGAGCTGCGGCAGGAAGTGACTGGGGCTGTTCCTAATCGCCACTTCCCTGAAACACAAACTCACGCTGTATCACCGAGATCCTTAACTTGGTTTAAACCACCCATAGCAGCATGTTTAATACACAGGACCAATGAGATTCCACTGTGGGCGGAGCTTCACAGCGTGATGTAACAAAGCCGAGTTATTGCGGCTGGTTAGGGAATGTTTTCTGATCTTTACGAATAACAGCAGCATCTTTTCAAAGACTTTGCATAAAAATTAGGCTCTCACTCGGTCATCTTCAGCGGCTCGTTCACGTAGGTGGACAGAATGGGCTGCAGGTCATAAATGCCGCTGACGAGAAACACACCTGAGAGCGAAACAGAGAATAAATCAATGAGTCTCTGATTAAAACTGAGCTGTTTTCTCACTATGTTAACGCCTGATGGATCAAATATGATACAAAACACTTTAGATTTTCCTTTATGCAGCACAAAAGCAGTCTTAAGTCGCTGGGGTATATTTGTAGCAATAGCCAACAATACATTGTATGGGTCAAAATTATCCATTTTTCTTTTATGCCAAAAATCATTAGGATATTAAGTAAAGATCATGTTCCTTGAAGATATTTTGTACATTTCCTACCGTAAATATATCAAAACTTAATTTTTGATTAGTAATATGCATTGCTAAGTACTTCATTTGGACAACTTTAAAGATGATTTTCTCAATATTTTGATTTTTTTGCACCCTCAGATTCCAGATTTTCTAATAGTTGTATCTCAAATATTGTCCGATCCTAACAAACCATACATCAATGGAAAGATTATTTATTCTCAATTTCTAAAAATTGACCCTTATGACTGCTTTTGTGCTCCAGGGTCACATATTTCATCTAAATCTGTTCCATTTAAAAACCAAATCTATTATTTCATATGTCAGGCTATACAGGGTTAATTCTAAGTGCTTGTAGATTAAGAGCAGGAGTGTTTTTAAAGCAGATGTACCTTTGATTTGCGGTGATATGTCGTACTGTGTCCAGTCGGTGGACAGAACCATAGCGGCCAGATGAGCTCCTGCCGAATGACCGCACAGATAAAGACCACTGCAGAGCGACAGAGAGACGCCATGAAGCACAGATATCCCATCAGCCACCTCACCTCACATATGAACAGACCTGATGTGTGAATACTGCTGGACGACAGACACCACGCTCCTGCGCACCTGTGACACCATCAGATCCATATCCCCTAAATAAACCAACATAAACACACATAAACAACACACTCGCAGAGTTGGACACTCCCCGTTATCCTCTCTGTGGGCTGTACCTTTAGGAGCGACGCTGTAACCCACGGCAACCACGACCACACCCCTCTGGACCAATGGCACGGCTAGAAACCCAGACTCGTTCTTACTGTAACCAGAGCATGGGTTATTATTCAGACTTTATTACAGTGTTCATTAACATTATCAATTCGTTTTTCATTTTTACATTTTCCGTTTTAATTTTAGTAATTTTATTGGGGAATTTTATCATTTTTATTTATTTAATTACTTTAAAAAAATGCTTATATCATTTTTATTTCAGTTTTACCTTTAGTTATTTTAGTACTTTAAATTAAACTAAGAAAAATGAGAAAAGACAGTTTATTAGTCATTTAAGTTGTAGTAATTCTGGTGCATATGTTTGTCATTTTTATTAATTTTAGGTGTTTTTTGTTTTTTTAATGTCTATATAGATTTGATTAATTTTAGTACTTTTGAGATAAACCTATCGAAAATGAGAAATGTTGAAATGTTGCTAACTAGCTGAAATAAAAATAGGTTCCATTTTTTCTTGTTTTGTTTTGTTTTATTTTATTTATTTATTTTTTTAAATTCCAGTTAAAAAAAATGTTAGTTTTTTTCCACTTTTCAAGTTTATTAGTTATTTAAGTTCTAGTAATTTTGTTGTATGTTTTCGTCTTCTTCCATTTTTTTTGTTTTTTAAATGTCTATATAGATTTTAATAATTTTTAATTTAACTAGCTGAAGTAAAAATAAGCTTAGGTTTTCTATGATTTTTTTTTTATATTATTAATTAATTTATTTTATTTTTAAGAAACAAAAATGTTTTTTTTTCTTTTAATTTTAAGTTTATTAATTACTTATGTTTTAGTCATTTTCTTGTATATTTTTGTCATTTTTGTTGTTTTTATGTATGTCTATATAGTTTTTTATTTTAGTTTTTTTCTATTCATTATTCTATTAACTATAATTATTTTGTCTATTCATTATTCTATTAATTAAAAAAAATTTCAGCTGTAATTATTTTTCCTAAACACGTTTTTTTTTTTTTTTACAGTGTTTAATATTTTTATTTAATAAGCCCTACAAACAAGCACAGCAAACCTGAGCTTTAAATAAATAAATAGCATTTTAATTCACAGTCACAACTCTCATTCTCTAGGCCTTTATGCTGATTATTATATTACACAACATGCCACGGTTGTGAGTCTCAGCTTGAAAAGCACATGGTCACAATGCAAATGTGAAGCTCTGCTGTCTCTGACACTGATATTTGATTTGGAAATCACATGGAAATGTCCCTGGACATAGAAATGAACAGGAACGTGACGGCTCAGACCTGAGGAACTGCCAGTATCCTCCATGAAAGTAAATGACCAGCGGCACGTCTGAAACACATCACATGGACAAGCAGTCAGCAATGACCCGCTAATGACAGAAAAACACACCAGAGCTTTGTATTCAACAGCAGACGGAACTTTACAAGCTTTAGCAGACAGAAATTAAACATCTGAATGATCTACAATGAGCAAATCTCACAAAAAACATACAGAAGTGTCACATAAAAGAAAATAGTTTGTAATAACATTTATTATATTTTATATATTTTTTATTTAATATGAAAAATTAAATAAAAGTACACCTGTATGCATACATCTTGACTGTTTTCAGTACTGAATAGAAAGAAAATAGAATGCACAGAGAATTGCTGATTTATTTACTGCATTTTATTACATATTTATAATAATGCACAATATATGCACTTAATTGTCATTATAATACTGCAAATCTTAATGGCTTAAAACAGGCTTAATTATTTTATTTATTTATTTAGACTTAGACTTTAATTAGACTTAATTTCTGATATATAATTTTTATTTCATAATTTTGATTCTTTACATTTTTATTAATATATAGTAATGTTATATTATTATTATTTTAATATAAAAAATGAATTTAATTTAAATTGTAAAGTACACCCATTTTCAGTTCAGTTTTCTGGATAGAAAAAGTACAGAGAATTGCTGATTTATTAATGTGTGTGTGTGTGTGTGTGTATACAGTATATTAGGGCTGCACGATAAATCGCATACGATATTTGTGTGTGTGTGTGTGTGTGTATTTTAATACATATTTTTTATAATGCACAATAAATGCCACTGTCGCTGCTGCAAATTTTAATGGTCCTAAAAATAGACTTAATTGTCTTTAAAAATAGATTTAAGTTCCAAATAGAATTCATTTTTTTGAGGTTTGTTAGATAATTAGAGACTCATTATAATCAGTTCTCATGCGCACCTGGACTAGAGCTGCTGGGAACATAAACGTCCAGCTTCTCTCCGTCACCATCACCGTACGGGACGTCCAACAAAGTCTGAGTGACGGACCGAGCTTTCTCTGTGCCTGCATACACACACACACACACACACACACA